AAAATATAACAGTTTTTGGAGGGAAAATTGTTAAATTGCCACATAGGTAAAATTAAATAGGTTTTATTAAATGCTATTAGCTAGTAATTATATATATATATATATAAATATACTACTTCTCATTCTTTTTAAATGTCATTTTAACTTTATTAATCATCAATCAAATAAATAACGTTTTGGATCTTTTGTACGTATTTTTCCATTATTATCCTCGTTTAGCTAATAAATATACTGCGCCTTTTCATATTCACTCTTAATTTTCATGTTATTAATTTTCATTAAAGAGAGATATTATTGACAAATAAAGGGAATCTGAATTATTGTGCAACTTCTTAAACGACACATATTTGAGAGAGAAGGGAGTATTAATTATTAGACAATTTTGGATGAAACTTGTAACATTTTATTAACTTTTTAACATCTTGCAGATTTGAGAGAGATTTTTACCACCATAAGAAGATATGAGATGAAGCTGAATTCAGCCAAGTGTTCATTCAGCGTAATGTCAGGAAAACTCTTGGGTTATATGGTGACCAAGAAGGGGATTGAGGTGAATCCAGAAAAAAGTTCGAACTATGTTGGAGATGCGGCCCCCGAAGAATGTGAAGGAGGTACAAATTCTAACTAGTCGAATTGCATGCTTAAGAAGATTCATTTCAAAAGTTGCCGAGCGGAGCAGTTGTTTGCTAATTATTTTCGCTATCCGCAATTGTACGACGTAACTATAGGCAGTGGCGAGCAAGGTCTTATTCCACATAGATTGTAGTTAAATTAATTAAATTCGAACATGGTTTTTAAAGTCCTCCCGGAAAAGAACTAAAATAATGACGATTGAATATTATCTAGACTAACCAAGCGACATGATGATTATAAACTAAGAGCTAATTTACCTAATAAAAAGATACAAAAGATAGATTCTAGGCTACGTGTTCTTCGGAATTAATTCAGGAAACGTTTAAATTCAAACAATCCTTATTTAATTTTACCAATCATAGAGATAATCGCTAAATTAATTTAATCTTTTTTCTCGAACAAGCTAAAATGTAGATTAATTGTTATCTATCTCCTCTCGGTCTCAAGATGAACAATTAACTCCATAAATTCATAGGATTTTTGTTATTTCGTAAGATCCTATCAACCTCTCTGTCTGTTTATTCCCTTACGTTATAAATCTCCCAATTCTAGCAATCAATTATCTTCTTTCGGCCTAAAATCGATCACAAATATACATTCATAGCGGTTGTCTACTCATACAATAAAAATAAGCACAAGAAATTGATAAACGAAAGATAAACATGAATGAAAGCAATAAAAACTATATCATAAATCAGTCCAAGTACTAACAAATCATAAAATCTAAGATAAAACTAGCCTAGAAACATGCTTCCAAAACAAAAAAATTAAAAATAAAACATTGAGTTCGAAAAGCGAAAAGAAAAAGAAAAGAAAAGCTTATTCAGCTTCGTAGATCCCTTCTTCACAGCTTTCTCGCTCGTCTTGCACGTGTATCTAGCCTCCAAAAGTCTGAAAATCGCCCAAAACACTCTCCCAAAAACGTGCCCTAGTGTCTCTTAAATAGTCGGGGTCGAGTCCTAGTCAAAATAGGTAGAAAATACCGTAAAAATAGGAAAACGCATAAAATCCGATTTTGACCCGCCCAGACCCACACGAGTCGTGTGGTATGTCACACGACATACCACATGACTCGTGTGAAAATGTCGAGAGATCGATTCGCGACACATCGGAACTTGATTTTCAGACGGTTCTCCATGCGAATCTTACGAAGACTGTACAGAAGCGTCGGCCGGTGCTCCGTGGCTAAGCAATGGTGAGGTAGCCCTGCTTTGGCTTTCGCCGGCCATTTTTTGACCGCTTCACACAATAGTTATTCCGGCGTGGATTTTATGTCCAGGATGCCTTTTTGGATAAAGGATGGCTGCGGCGTTCATAAACGTGGTGGCACGGTGGCGAGCTGCTTCCAGTATGACCTTGGCGGATGGACGAGCGTGGAAGATGAAGAGAGCTCATTCTTCATGCAGCTGTGGGCCAACGCAATTGCCAAAAATATTCACACATGGGTTGGTTATGTATGAAGCCCAAACATTAACATAAACCCATATATCGTCGAACTTGCACTTTTTCCAAACATTTTCTAAAAACTTTTATTTTTTTACTTTTGCCTCAGAAAGAAAGGCAAAATCAAGGAGGTGGACTCTCCTCTTTGAAATAGAAAATTGTAGAGGGTCCTCCTAATCCTCAACAATTCCACACGCAAACTCTCATTAGAAACTTTGGGACTGCTTATGGATAGTTTCCTCCACCTCAACACCCAAAGCGTTTTCAACAATTTTTTATTTTTTTTTAATTTTCTGAACCTTTTCTGCCAGACTCTGCCATTAGTTCATTACAACTTTCAAAAGTTTTTTTTTATTCTGACCCTTACCACTCTCATCTGGCTTCAATCTTAGACTTTGATTGTCAACCAACATAATCTAAGAATTCCTAGATTTACCCTCCTTGAATTTCCCCACAAAAGTTTTCTTTCTCCACTGGCTATTCTACCCCCAATTGAAGTTGGTTGAATATCTATTTCAATTAGATGCTCATTAGAATGGCTTGTTTCAATTAAGTTTGAAACAAAATTAATGGACTCTTCTAACACCTTATTTTTAACTGACTCCCTGAGTGGAAACTCACGAGACTGGACATATGTTCCCATTTGATAGTTTTTCCTCGGATTGGCTACCTATGGAGTTGGAATTGGGGATTTCAGCATCAAAGGACTAGTGTCAAAAGCTTTCAACCAGTCACCATATTGCCCAGGGTTAAGCACGTTTCTATAATTAACATCTTCCTTTTTCAGAAGGCAGATTCTATCAGGGTGACCTATCCTAGCACAAAAAAAGCAGAATTTTTAGAGATTTTCATACTTGAAATCAACCCATTTGCTGGCCATTTATGTTGGTTCCTCTTAGGATTGGAGATTTTTTTTTTTCAAAACTCTTTGAGCGCTGATCATTTGTCCTTTGAACCTCCCTGTCCCCGATACATAAACATCTAGGACTTGCCCTAACATCTCCCTATCTTCAACCCGGTTTCAGCTACAATCCAATGAAGAGGCAAATTATGTATCTAAATGCATATTTTTATTTTTCCCTCCCCCTATGTGAACTTTTGTGCCCTCTTGTTCCCAATTTTAGAGAAGAATTTATTGATTGCCGAAGGACTAAGGTTCCCAAATAAAATCTTATCCTTGTCTTTCTCCGACAGGAAGAGGAATTGGAAAGCATTTTGCCCCATATTTCTGATTGTAAGAGTTTGCCTCATGCTCCAGATTCTAGCAAAAGTGCATTTGAGCCCACTGAAGTTTGCTTTCTTATCCCCATATATTTCCCAATTAAACTTAATTGGCATTCCTTAATTCCTAGGGCAACTTCTTGCTCTGAAAGGTCAATTATTTTAAGTTTCTCGGTAATATCCTTCTCCATAACAAAAATCTCGCCCCCAACCACAAAACCCTTCGACTCCAACCAAAACCAAAAGCCCTAAAAGAAAGAAACCCAAAGATCCTCTGATGGAACAAACTGCAGAAAGAGGAAATGAAAGAAAAGAACAAAGAGAGCGAAGGGCAAATTACAAACACAATTAGTCACTAGACACAACCTAATATCTAAGCAGTAGATGGATTTTAGCTAGAAGACACGCAGAAGTCCGGAAAAACCTAGAGAAAGAAGACAACGAGGAGAAATGCCCAAATGGGAACACAACTTTAGAGAGAGAAAAAATCTCAATCAGGAAACACGCATGCAAAGTTGTGTATCATATGAGAAGTGCAACATAGTGCAAGAGGGTCAGGTTACTTGTAGATGTTGGAAGGTAATTGTGCGCCGGACACACATTTTCATATGCACATGAATGCAACCGAGTACTACAACACATTGCACATGTTGTCCACCAGTACTTGAGTGCGGTGTGGTGACCTGAAGCCTAATTGGACCTTGCTCGTCGCTATACAACGGGCTCTAGTCACACACTAGTCCGCTCACTTAAATTCTCACTTGCATGCTCTTCGTACGCTTGCTCCCTGCAAGTTATTAAATTTGAGTTATAATAAACTGAACGTTACTCAAGTTTCACTATATTAATTGACCAATTTAAAATACTAATTTTACATTTACTCAAATTTAAAATAGATTTAATTCTGATCAATGTCTTATTTAAAAAAAAATGTGAAATACTTAATAACTTAGTTTGGCGCTACCATGATATACTATGTTTCAACTTTCAACACGCTACTCGTGATTTTCATTAATATGAATGGTTGTCTGTGTACGGCATTATATCGCATTAGAGCACCCACAATGCTTTGAGTCTCTTAACAAAAAATCACATGCCACATGGGAAATAGACTTAGTCTATGAAAAAATGTTTCTCAATGCAATTAAAAGTAGACATGGTCTAGCTTATGTGGCAATAAAAAAGAGACCAAGTCCACACTAGGGTCTATTCTGGCAGTGCTACTACCGTGTTCCCTGGCACACCTAAGTATTTGCGCTATTCTGGACCCAAGTACAAACTCAACACTCATCATTTATTCTTAATTTAATTTTTTTTTTAATAAAGAAAACATATTGCACACCTAAGTATTTGCGCTATTCTGGACCCAAGTACAAACTCAACACTCATCATTTATTCTTAATTTAATTTTTTTTTTAATAAAGAAAACATATTAGAACATTCTTATTGGTTGACATGTATGCTAGACCTAGTATGTTTATTTTTGCATTGCAAAGTTTTTAAATTTTTTTATTTGAGTTTCTCCATATTATTTAAGACCCAAGTCCAATTATATGCCACGTATACAAAAAGAAATCCAAAGCATTGTGAGTACTCTTACTATTGATGTAGTGGTGACAATGACAATCTCATGTTAATCTCCTATTCAGAATATAAAATTATTAATCACCAACTTACGCAGTTTGTCGTTATATAAATTAGGTCGTCATCAAATCAAATTAAATAATGGTAGAAATGTTTGCATGCCAATCCATTTCCTCTCTACTACTGATTGCAATTGTCCCACCAAAATCAACACTATCATACAATACAACGAGCTCCAAAAATTTGCTCAACCTAAACTAACTGAGATACACAAAAAGAAAAAAAAAAATCAACCGAAACAAATTATCTACCTTTTGTTTTTCAATCAATCACAGCAATATTAATAAATTTATGAGGTAGCAGGCTGATTATTGTTAGGATGATGAGTGTGGTTTGAGGAGAATGGGTAGAATTTGGGCCTAAATTGGATCGAATTCTTATCGGTGGGCTTGGTGACCCGTTGGCAGGAAGGGCACATGGTGAGAGTGGTGGCCGGCAGCTGAGCATGGAATTGGTTTGAGGTTTTGAGGGCTCTGACTTGTTGGACCTCTTTCTGAAGCCTTCGGTTTTCCTCTGTTAGGGTCTCGCAGCATCTCTTCAAGTACTCGCACTCCACCTCTGTTTGCTTAAGCTTCGTCCTGAATTCAAAATAATATTCCACACCTGTTATTGTGTGTTGATTTTTTCTTTTGGGCTACCGATCGACATTTCTAATTTTCTCAACTGCATTTTAATTCTTTAATATATTCTTGATTAAGAAACTAAATAGAAAACAAACAAAATCCCATTTTAATTCTTCAATATATTCATGAGATTGAATGAATCAATTTTGGTGCAATATTAAAAAATGTATCATGGGGCCAAAAGTTCTATTCATGTAACAGACAGAAGTTCAGTATTTAAAAAATTGATTCATTCAATCTTAAATAATTATTTGGTCCAACTTTGAATGATAAACCACCCTATTGGCCTATTTATTTTGATGCTCTATGTAGTAGAAACTATTTCCACAAATACAAATTAAAATTTAAGATTTAAATTGCAAACTCCTATAAAGTTACAAGATTATACATAATATTGAAATATTTAGGAAGTATATATATATCATGCGCACAAACCTGGCCCTTCTGTTCTGAAACCAGACCTCAACCTGTCGGGTTCTGAGATTAAGTTGTTTTGCAAGCGCCAGTTTCTGTTTCTGCTTCATCCCAATTAAAACAAACCAAACCAATCAACACTCTTTCATGTATTAAGAGGATAAAATGGTAATTACAAATATTTTTTCCTAGATATACTTTAACATACGGGATTGAGATTGTTGTGCTCTTTGAAGGTTTCCTCGAGGAAGGCCGACTGCTGTTTGGAGAGCCGCAGCTTTTTCCGCGCGTGGGGCCCACTCTCTTCTTCGTCGTCACTCGCCCTCTCCACCTCAGGCGATCTCTTGAGCAGCTGCAGATCTACGCTGTTCGCCGATGATACCTCCTCCGGACCTTTGCAAATGCCTATGTTCCCCGACGACTCATTTTCCGAGCTCCCTGCTTCATATTAAAATGCAATTAAAAAAAAAATGAAAAGAAAAAATGAATTAACCCAATGAGTATAATAGAATAATAGTCTAGTCTAGTGCTAATTTTAATTAAATTGAGTTTAATCGAGTTTAGTTACCCGGAAAAACAAAATTGACCGGCATGTATATGCACACACACGTGTCGTGCTAAAGCCTCATTGCGACCCCCATGAGATAATAATATTAATAATAATAATAATAATAATACCGATAAAAAAAATAATATTAATCTTGAAAATAAAAGTTTGTTTCTATCTAAATCAAAAGTTTAGAGTTATGCAAAATATTTATTTGATAAAAATACATGTAATCAGTAGCTTTGCGTCAACCAAGAAAATAAGAAAAAGAAATGAAGTCCACTTTTCCGCCCAAAAATAAATAATTAAGTTGAGAAGTTTACCATTATCAGAAGACCAAGGCAAGGACTGAATAAGATGAGACGAAATCTGACGGCAAGGATTAACGGGAACAAGAGGGAGCAGATTTAGCTGGACCACGGGATTTTCCCTCTGATTATTACCATCACTCTCTTCACCCCCTTGTGATGCCTCATCGTTATCTTCATCATTATCATCATCACCGTTGATTTCTCGAGCCTTTCCGTTGGGCTTTTGATCTTCAGTAGCAGCCGAGCTGAGGCCCAGGCCCAGGCCCATGCAGAAATCCAGACCGACCATCTTGGCCGGCTTTTTATCCTGACCCGTCGATTTGATCACTTTCAAGGATCCAACGGCTGGTGATGCGTCTCCTAAGCTCAAGCCCAACTCCATTAATTCTTGGTGGTTGAGAAAGAGAGTGAAGAAAAAAGACGCTATGTGGGATGTGTAATAATAATCAGTGGGAAAGAGTCTTTATAGAGATTCTATCCAAATTTATCACCTTTTAAATAAATAGAGAAACAAAGTACAGTTTTATTTATTTTATTATTTTAATAATGAAAAGCAAAAGAAAGAGTAGACCAAACCAAACATAATTAAGTCCCATCTTTTTATTTGCCTTTATATTTTAATAATGATTTTTGCAGTTATCTTTGTTTTTCACCTACCTTTTCAAGGTTTTCTTTTTGCATTTGATTTTTTAGGATTAGGAATTTTAAGTAGGGATGATGATTAGCAGAAAATGGGGGTTTGACCGACGTACTCATGTTGACGAAATCGCACACACGTGAAAGCCCTACTTTTATGAGGCCAAGAGGCCCAAGACGCTGTCCTTCTTTTAAGATTTGGGTGGGCCCCGCATATATCGCCTTTGTGGTGTGCACTGTTTCCTATTTTTCTTTTATTAACAATGGTTGAATAAGTGCTATATGCTAAATGAAGATTGGTTGCAGTTGGGACTTGGGAGGGACTTTTTAGGTAGCTCATTTACCCACTTTCTTCATTTGGTCTTTTTATTGTCTTTGATGTTGGTTTGATTAGAGTGACTTGTGATATAGTATCTAGAATAGTTCGGTCAACTAGTCGTAGACAGTTCAGAAAAATTCCATTCAGTTTAGTACTTACATCGTACGATAAGCTCGTGTAGCTCAAAGGTCAGTATACAAAGGAAACTCAGACACCAGAGAGCACCAGGTGGCTCGAAGGTCGGGAGACCATGGAAGTTCGGATATCAAAGAGATCCATGTAGCTCGGAGGTTAGGAGAACTAAAGAGCTAGGCTACAGTAGCGACCTCATGACCTGTAGGTCTGTTGGGGTTAAGTCGCGGTTACGACCTAGATAAAACTAGTGAAAGTAGACACAGACGTTGACCTCGAAACTTAAGAATCGTGTAGCAAGAGGGGAAAGAATCCTTCATGAATGGGAAGTACATATTGATAACAAATCTCATATCCAAAATATCTTGCTAGTTACACAAGTGGATACGAGAGGATCTCATTCCTAATTATGACTTTCTTAGCCACCAAGTTATCCTAGGTATATAAGGGTATTCGGGTTATTTACTTTACACGAAACACATACGCGCAGAAGAACTTATATACATACACTAAGTTTTATCATGCCATACACTGACTTGAGCGTTAGAGACTTTTCCATCAGGACCCTTCCAGGCGTATTGCAAGTCGTCGGAGCACCGTGCTAATGGAGGTTCATGGTTAGTGGTGTAACCGGTTCAAGAAAACTTGTGTATCAAACAGTGTCGTCTATGGGAAAAACTCCAGTCCTTTTACCTGCTACAAGAGGCTGATCGATTTTTTATCAGAAAAAATCAAAAGAAGTTCAATATACATATATATATATATATATATATATATATATATGAATTCGACATCACTTCGAGATCCTCGCCAGTTAAACGCATTGAGACCTGCAAAACAGCACTAGGGGTTTTGTCTGAGTAGAAGCTCAAACAATTCGGCATCACTTTGTAGATTTTTTATCTACAAGACGGTGAAAGACCTGCGAAACAGCACTAGGGGTTTTGTCTTAGTAGAAGCTCTGATGCTTAAGTCAGTAAACAGTGATGAAGAAGATGATGAACTGAATGTAATTGTATGTATATCAGAGTGTTTAAAGGTATGATGATCATACCTCACTATTTTATATAGAGGTGTTACCTTGTTTCCACGACTGTCCGACTTGGCTGCCCAGTGCCCGAGCTACCTGATCGTACTTCCCAAGTGCCAAAATTGCTTAATTATCTTGGCCCACGTGTCCTTCTTATCTTAATTATATTCCTTCTTATTTATTATGTGTTGTTTTCACATTACCGTACCTCATTTGGTAGCCTAATTGTGCTATTAGCTTAGTTTCCCTTGAACTAGGTCGCTTTGACCTTCAACGAGTAAGTTTAACTCTTGGTCGAGTTTCCATCAGGCTAGCCAGGAGCCTTACCTCAACCAGTTGTCGTGTTGCTTTGCTAGTGAGGTCACCATCGACTTGTTGTTTCCATGACCTCTGACATCTTTGGTGTCTAACTGAGTTGTCGGTCACTCAATCTGGTCGAACTGTTCTTAGGTCGTTCGAGACCTAATTATGCTGGTATGGTATCTCATATCATCTGGTCCCCCCTTTCCCCACTTTGGTCGAGTAGATCACTACAACATAAATGACTTTAGGTAGCTATTTATTGTAATACTTTACGAATTATTGGTTTATGTATCATATTATTGTAACACTTTTAATATAAAGTGTAACAATAATATGATACATAAACCAATAATTTGTAAAGTATTACCATAGATGCTAGAGATGACTCTATCTAAGAGTAGAACTAATTATCCTTAGTTATATTCCTTGCACTCGTGGCCTATCGGACCGACCTGCTCATATCCTCAACTATCCTTTAGCCAAGGGAACCAGTTAAACCTAAGGAAAAGGTCTTAAATTCAACTTTCAAATGTAAACTTCTGACATCTTTTTCTCGAATAATGCACCATTAAATGTTGTTTCAATCTTGCTCACCCGCTCTTAATTTCATCGAACGGTCCTGATCGATCTGTCACTTCAAATTCCATCTTTTACTCTCGTCTGCTCATCGATCTTCATCGAACGGTCTACCTCGATGACATTATTTATGTTTGCTCCATGATGTTGCCTTTTCTGCTTTATATATATTTCAAATTCTTGGGTCAATATCCAACCTGTGTTTGATGATGGTGGCTTCTATTCCTATCATCTCGTCTGGGGTGAATGCGAAAATATCCTTGAACTCGCTAATCAAATTGATAAGTTCACATTTCAATGGCTCTACCAAGTATCCACCAATTTTTACTTTCCTCCCTTCCACTCATTTCACAAGCTGGACTTCCACCGGCTCTTCTCATGGATGCATCTCTCCTCTATCTTTCTCTGGCTTAGACCTGACCACCTTTTTACTGGAGCTACTACCTTATTTAACGACCTCTTTGCTCGAACCACTACCACCTTTGGCCACTTGATGCCCCGCTTTGACTGTCACCTAATAACACAATCTGGGCGTGAGTTGGTCGCCTTTGATCTCCCCAACTAGCTCACCTACTGGAAGTAGGTGGACAACACCACTTGAAAAGAGTTGAGATTTGGGCGCCCCAATATCATATTAAAACTTACTTTTGCTCTGACCATCAAAAACCTCACCATCTTAATCTTTCGGGTTGCTCCCGACCCCAACACTACCGGCAGTGTTACCTCACCCATGGGGATGACCTCACCACCATTGAATCCGTTCAGTTCTGTGCTAACCTCTTTCAGCTCAACATCCAACTCCATTTCTTTGAATCAATTATATATATATATGTAAAAGCACGTCCATCGAGCTCCATGTGTAAATGAATATGAGCTGCAACTTATATCCCCTGGCGTTCGCTTAGGACGTGGACTTCACATTAACTATGGATCCCTCCATGCTATATTTGTACTTAAACCCTAAGGAAAAAAAGTGTTTGTAAAAAGAAAACAAACTCAGTTTTTCAATGGTGCAATAACACTGAAAAAATGAACACAATAAAACTCAAGAACAAAAAGTTTACAAACACTCAATGAAGTCTAATAATATGGTAAACTTAGATTATTGCAGCATAGAGAGACCCGTAAAGCCAAGTTATTGTGAACAACCATTCACTAAATATTAGTACAGTATTCGTGCGATGCACGAGAACATTTAGTACCTATTTGTCATTTAAAAGATATTTTTGTATTTAAATTATCTTATGGTATTCAAAATATCATGAAAACGAAAATTATATATTATTGAACACTTCCTTATGTACAACATTCATGGTTTCATTCTTTGGTATGTAAAATACTACATTGGTTGTTCAAATTTTCTCTAAAATTGTGTATTATTAGCTATTAGTTAACAAACTACAAAATTAAAGGATCTTAACTAAACAAAATTTTAGTGAAAAAAAGTAGAGATTTTTGGGATTTTCATGACATTTTTTATTTTAAATCTAATTCAAAATATTGATTGAGAACAATTAAAATGAATAATTAGTTTTTCCTAAAATTGAAACTGAATTTTCCTATCAATACATCGATTTTTTTACGAAAACAAATTGATCCGAATATTTGTTTAAAACAAAGTGAAAAGAAGCATCATTCTTAAAATGCAACCGAATTTTCCTTAAATTTCACTGATTTTTTACTAAACAAATTGAATTGAAATTAGTTCAAATAAAAAATTGAAATATTTTGCTAAGATTTATGCAATTGTTTCTTTCCTAAAAAATTTGATATGAACTTAACAAAAATATTGATATGAACTTACTGAAATCTCGTTAAAACATGATTAAAAAAACATAAGAATCTAAAAAAATCGATGCATTAAACTTTTAAAAAGTTGTACACGATTTTTTCTTCTAAAAGTTGCACACAATTTTAAAATTAATTTGAACTTTTTTCTTAAATAATTGGATATGGTTTGACTTTAAATATCAAAGATGAACTGATTTTTTTTACCAAAAAATGTGGATAAGGTTTTGAATGTATATCCTATCCAAATCTCAATTTTATTTTAAAATAAAAATTGCACGTGGTTTTATCCAATCTGCACACATTTTCTGAAAAGAAAAAAATTATTCAAAACTATTGGACGACTTTGTTAAGAATTACACAACTATTTGTTTTCTAAATTTGTATCTAATTTGCACGGTCTAAGTTAATTTGTATTTGGATTTATTTAAATACTAAACTATTAATTGAATTTTTGATCCATAATCATTGACACATTTTCTACATAAGAATCTCTAAATTTTTTACAAAAAATATGGGATTCAGATTTTGGAAAAATAATAAAAAATAATACAAAAAGAATAGAATTCAGATTTTGACGTAAGAATCTCCAAATTTGTTAAAAAAATAAAATTTAGATATTGTTACTAAAGATTCACATGTATTTTTTAACTTTCCATTAATTGAATATGGGGTGCTGTTGGGTCAGTACGGGGCAGTACGAGACACCTCTATANAAAAGTCAACTCCTCCATAAAAGTCTCCGATCATGAAAGCATCTCAGAAAAACCCGCAGGTCCACCACTTCAGTCACCGCCATCCCCTGGAGCTCTCTCACCTCCACCACGAAGAAAAGAAGGCCGCCGTTTGCTCTGGCTGCCAGCACCACATTTCGGGCCGGGCCTACTTCTGCACGAAGGCCGAATGCCCGTTCCTTCTCCACGACCTCTGCTTCGACCTCCCTCGCCGCCTCCGCCACCGCTCACACCCCGAACATCCCCTGATCCTCCGCCACTCGCCGCCATACGCCGGCGGCGAGTTCACCTGCAACGCGTGCGGCGATTCAGGCCAGGCGTTCACGTACCACTGCGGGACGTGCGGGTTCGATCTGCACGTGGAGTGTGCCTCCTTGCCGGGATTCGAGATCCGGCGCGATCACGCCCATCCTCTGGTGCTTGTGTGGGATTTTCCGGTCAACGGACGTGACTGCCAATGCTACGTTTGCGGCGATGTGTTGGAGAGTGGTCGGTGGGTGTATTCTTGTCTGGCCTGTGGTTGTGGGGCCCATTTGGAGTGCGCAAGCCACTGATTAGATTTATTAAAAGGTGAATTTTGTACAAACACGGCCCTACAGTGTTTGTAACATAATTCCAACGGTGCAACAATTTTATTGTACTTGTCGTGTTTTCTTT